CAAATTCGGTGAGTATAAAATTTACTTTTATTTATATATTTATAAAGAAATATTCAGCAGATAGATAGTCTAACGCGCTGTTCCTGTACTGCTAGGAGACAGATTCCGTAGGTCGAGAGTTCAACCCCGGGCTGGGGCGGAAGTGAGTATCCTTATAAAAGTGAATTTCTTTGTGCTTTCTTTATGAATATTTCTTCACTCAGGGCAGTTATATTAGTGTAAGAGTTGTTGTAAATTGTGCTTTAAATAGAGAATAATACATACCCTTTTCCATATCACATCCATCCTGTGTCAGCCCGAGACACCAATATCAGCCAGAGGGCCGAAGGCCCGAGGGCTGATATTGGTCGAGGGCTGATACAAGATGTGATATGTGGAAAAGGGTATGTATTAATATGTTTATTACATACTTAGTAATAAAATACAACATACATTAAGTTAAGAAGAAAAAAAGTAAATTATCATGCATAGACTTCTTACATACATGTACATGGTCTATTGTCTCAAACATTTTGGGTTTGTTTCTACTTCTATTTCAATGCACTCAATCCTAATTTGAAAATAATCTATTACATGTATTTGTAAATTAACATTAACCTTATTTTCAAAAAGATGAAATTAAGAGAATATGAACCCACCAAAAATTGTGTATGATCACAAGTACTGTTTTTGTGTGTAATTTCCTAAGGGTGTAATATTGACGTCACAAAAGTCGTATCAGCCCTGTAGGGCTGATATGGATTTGCGGGTCTGATATAGGTTATCAGTCCTGCAAATCCATAGAGCTGATTTCAATAGACCTAACGGATTACGCTGTTTGTGACGTGCTGACGCTTTGCTTGTCGAGATGTTTAAATACTACGTAACGTCACATTGTCACCACATCAAAGGAAAAGGTCGAGATCGCTTCTCTCCCACGCTATAGCTGCAATATACAGCTTGTTTGTTGGGTAAAAAAAGTGGAGTAGACAGTCCCGATTAAATTAAATTATTTAATTTTTTATATCTCATTTTATTGGTTACGGATATCAATCCAAGCCATGCATTCTGAGATTGTTGCAATTTAATACAAAATACTGCTGAAAAGTAGAGCCCCCTCTCTATGCATATATTAGAGAGAAATGGTAAAGAGGGAAGGCCGGGGGAAACGCTCAAATTTTATTGATTAAAAATGCATATAATATAAATAATGCTCTTTTCAACTGTTTAATAAGATTAGTGCTGTCTGTCCCCTTTAGTAAACCGTTTAACGTCGGCGATGTGTATCGCATCTGACCGACTCTAGCATGGGAGAAGCGATCTCGGCCACTTCCTTTGATGTGGTGACATTGTGACGTAGTATTTAATCCTCTCGACAAGCAAAGCGTCAGCACGTCACAAATTTATAGGGTAATCCGTTAGGTCTATTGAAATCAGCTCTATCAGCCCTGCAGGGCTAATACGGCTATTGTGACGTCAGCCATATGTGGACATTTGAAATAGAAGTACATGCAGAAACAAACCGAAACTGTATGAGACAATAGCCTGTGTACATTTTAAGAAGGCTGTACATGATTATTTAATTATTTTCCTCTCAACTTATAATAAATGTGTTTTGTATTTTATTACTAAGTATGTAATAAATATATTTATTACTAAGTATGTAATATCTGGCTGATACTGGTGTCTCGGGCTGATACAGGATGTGATATGGAAAAGGGTATGTATTATTCTCTATATATATTTATATAGAAATATACGTATAGTTTTCTTTAATTAGGATGATTTGCTTGGGAACATAGATGTCTGACTTGTCTATTTCTAGCTGAATAATATGACAAACATTGACTAATTCTTAAGAGTTTTTATGCATAATATTGCTGAATGTTTACAGAGCGTATCAGAATCAATATCATTTCATTATTTTAAACATTTTAAAAGTACAAAACACATAACCAGAAATCGATATATTTCAGTAAGGTTTTCAATAAGTAAACATGGTTAAGATACCATGTATGTTAAAGGTCAACGATTGTTTTTCTTAAATAACAAGCAAATTCAAAGAATTGTGGTCCCCCGCTTTCGGTGTCTTTGTTGGTGAGATGTTATTTTTTATGATATATTGTGTCTAATATGAACATCCTATCATATGTCATTTCATAGAAATTATCATTGAAGTTGATTTTTTTGAAGGATGAAATCCCTTATCCTGACCGTTAAAAAGTTATGGCCAAAGTTAACTTTTTTAAAAGTAGGTCAACTCCAAGGTCAAGATCAAAGGGTCAAAGTTGTTGACGAATGGTTTTCTCACAAGGATTACATATGTGAAGTATGAAAGCCCTAGCCCTTACCGTTCAAAAGTTGTGGTCAAGGTTAAAGTTTTTACATAAGTACGTAAATCTTTAAGGTCAAGGTCAAAAGGTCAAAGTTGTTGATATCCAATGAAAGGACTTGCCACAAAGAATACATATTTGAAATATAAAAGTCCTAGTCTCTACCGTTCAAAAGTTGTGACCAAAGTTAATTTTTAGCTCTACTGGTCAGAGACCAGAAGAGCTTATGCGATAGTAATGTGTCCGGCGTCCGTCCGTCCGTCCGTCTGTCTGTCTGTAAACAATTTTTCAAAATGCTACTCCTCCTACAGTTTTGATCTGATTTCAATATTACTTGGCATATAAGTAGACTACACTAAGATACATAAATCTGTGTATCGGTTTTTGATTTCGACGAACGGTTTTGGCATTGTTACTAAAAATAGAAATTTCTGTGAAATTCTTTCAAAATGCTACTCCTCCTACAGTTTAGGTCTGATTTCAATATAACTTGGCACACAAGTAGACTACACTAAGATACATAATTCTCTGTATCGGTTTTTGATTTTGACGAACGGTTTTGGCGTTGTTACTAAAAATAGAAATTTCTATGAAATTCTTTCAAAATGCTACTCCTCCTACAGTTTTGGTTTGATTTCAATATAACTTGGCACACAAGTAGACTACACTAAGATACATAATTCTGTGGATCGGTTTTTGATTTCGACGAACGGTGTTGGCATTGTTACTAAAAATAGAAATTTCTGTGAAAATCTTTCAAAATGCTACTCCTCCTACAGTTTTGATCTGATTTCAATATAACTTGGCACACAAGTAGACTACACTAAGATACATAATTCTTTATATCGGTTTTTGATTTCGACGAACGGTGTTGGCATTGTTACTAAAAATAGAAATTTCTGTGAAATTCTTTCAAAATGCTACTCCTCCTACAGTTTTGGTCTGAATGCAATATAACTTGGCACACAAGTAGACTACACTAAGATACATAATTCTGTGTATCGGTTTTTGATTTCGACGAACGATGTTGGCGTTGTTACTAAAAATAGAAATTTCTATGAAATTCTTTCAAAATGCTACTCCTCCTACAGCTTTGGTCTGATTTCAATATAACTTGGCACACAAGTAAACTAAACTAAGATACATAATTCTGTATATCGGTTTTTGATTTCGACGAATGGTGTAGGTGTTGTTACTAAAAATAGAAATTTCTGTGAAATTCTTTCAAAATGCTACTCCTCCTACAGTTTAGGTCTGATTTCAATATAACTTGGCACACAAGTAGACTACACTAAGGTACATAATTCTTTATATCCATTTTTGACTTCAATGAACATTCTTACCTTGGTTAATCAAGATAGCAATTTCTGTTACTCTCAAAATGCTACTTCAAATACAGTTTTAGTCTGATTATAATATAATGTGGCATGCAAGTAGACTACACTAAGAACATAAAGAAACTAATTCAAGGATCATTATTCTCTTTTTTGCTAGTGTAAGTTTCAATTCCCAATTGCTTAAGTACTTTCCTCTTCCTTTGCTATAAGTACAAACCAGTAGAGCTTCAGTCTCGACAGAGACTTCTGGTTTTTAAAAGTAGTTAAAACTCCAATGTCAAGGTCAAAGGGAAAAAGTTGTTGGTATCCAATGAAAGGTCTTCTCAAAAATATTACATATGTGAAGTACGAAAGCCATAGCCCTCACCGTTCAAAAGTTATGGTCAAGGTTAAAGTTTTTTCATAAGTATGTAAATCTCCAAGGTCAAGAACAAAAGGTCAAGGTTGTTGGTATCCAATGAAATGTCTTGCAACAAGGAATACATATGTGAAATATAAAAGTCCTAGTATCTACTGTTTAAAAGTTGTGACCAAGGTTAAAGTTTTTAAAGAGTAGTTAAAACTCCAAGGTCAAGGTCAAAGGGTAAAAGTTCTTGGTATCCAATAAAAGGTCTTCTCACAAGGATTACACATGTGAAGTACGAAAGCCTTAGTTCTCACCGTTCAAAACTTATGGTCAAAGTTAACGTTTTTTCATAAGTACGTAAATCTCCAAGGCCAAGGTCAAAAGGTTAAGGTTGTTGGTATCCAATGAAAGGTCTTGCCACAAACAATACATTTGTGAAATATGAAAGTCCTAGTACCTTCCATTCAAAAGTTGTGGCCAAAGTAAAAGTTTGAAATTTCTGTGTAAAAGTGGGTCAAACTCCAAGGTCAAGGTCAAAAGGTAAAATTTGGTGGTACCCAAAGAAAGGTCTTGTCACAAGGAATATACATGTGAAATATGAAAGTCATAGCTCTACTAAATCAAAAGTTATGGGCAAGGTTAAGGTTTTTTGTGACGGACAGACTGAGAGACGGACACACGAATGAGATTTAATGTCCCCTCGCTTTCGCGAAAGCGGGGGACAATAAACCTACTAAGACAATGGTATGGTTGATACAATTTATGAGGAAAAAACACTAGAGGTGGGGGGATAAAATATACATCAATAAGAAATGTGCGTGATTGCACTTTACAGAAATATTACATTTTCTTTAACATAAAAATTAACCCTTTTTTTTTTTAGAAATATTGTAAATTTTGTGATTTAAAAATAAAACAATCCGCAATCAAGGGCTTGTAATCTATTTTTTTATCATTTGCGTAAAATTATTTATAGTCCCTTACTTGATAATTCAAACCATTCGTGAACTTTTTCCCAGAGATTCCGGTCATCTCCTTTGTACGCGTTCGTTTTGTATGACTTGGGCGGATCTGTAGTTCTTCGTGTGAATATGGCGTCATAAGCCGGCGGTGGACCTAAATGTAAAAAAAAATATACAATTATATGTTAATAAGCCAATGACATATCTGATGAATGCGATAATTATATTGAAATTAAAAAATAGTCTTTCAAACATCCACGTATATGACCCACAAATAATGTAGATGTGTAAATTTGATTCTGTTTTTTTTTTAATTCATGGATATAGATTTAATATAAAGGACTTCAGATATAAATTAATGTTACACTTGCTGAAATATATATTGCCGACTCGCTGTTAAACAATAAACAATCAGTTACATTGTATTTAATTTATCAAACAATCATGACTATATAGATAAAAACTACTTACTTAATTCATGTACTTGGTCCGGTGTAACAATATCTGTCGCTCCAATTACAGAAATCCCCGAGATTCCCGGTAATTCATAACCAGTGCTCGGTCCTGAATAGGCTGGGGGCGACGTAGGAGGTGGACCGCTTTTCTCCATTCCAGTAAACGAATTCTGAGTGATATCACCCACGGACATCGATCAAGTTAAATACTAACAACTTCAACATGAAACAAGGTCGGATATTTTTAAGAAAAAAAATGTCCGACGTTCTCTTATTAAAAATCCTGACACCGAAGATTTAATATTTACAACGATAGCATCCGTGTTTGCAATCTGCTATTGCAAAATAGATTTCCTCTCATTGGCATGCGCAGATGTATTTATAGATTATAGGTAATTCACAGGTAAGTAGATCAAAGTGACGAAGCGGGTACCGGTATATATTATGCAGGTTCAATAACTCGTACTGGCAATATTACCCATTACCCTACGCTCAATATACTAATAGATAGACCTATTGGTTATCTTTATATATTAGTTCTAGCTTATTTCATGTGCGTATGCAAGAGCGTTAGAAGCTTTGTAGATCGTATTTTAATGTGTCAGAACTTTACCAGCTGTGTCCATTTATCAGTTATTTTACAAGAAGAGAGCGAGAGAATATGTAGATAAGTTGCAGATAGCCGCACGCGCTGTACATAGCACTTACCCCCGTGAGTTGGTAATAAGGTATAGGAATGGTTTCTGTTATATTATCTTGATAATGTTGAATGGTTAAGTTTTACAGATTAAAAATCCAAAGACTGAAACTCTGGTAGCAGGAAAAAGAGGATAATTTATACATTAGTTAATATGTTTTACGGTGTGACCGTTGGGGCGAGCGCAGTTGTACCATCAAAAACACTTGAGATCAGCCACTTCAAACGTCAAGCCGCACGAGACTTCTCGACTAGCTGTGACGTCATACGACGTCACAAAGCTCGTCGGAGCTTACGGAGAAAGCCGAGCGTCTGTTTGTAACTATAGAACTAGTGCAATTTTTGTCGAAAAATATTGCAGAGTTATTTCTTGTTTCTTTGAAAGATTTCTACAAACTGAAAGTCTGATATATGCTTTACGTTATTATTTATTTATTTATTCGGCAATATTCGCGCAAAGGACATTGGGTAGTGCAGGAATTCTGGGAATGTTGCACAGAGAAATTTGGCTGACGTATGTACAGATTTCAATCCGAATTTTCTCTGTTCTTACACGTTAGTCTATTGAGCTCGCTTCGCGAGCGTCGCTTCGCGACGCTCGCTGCGCTCGCTATAAAATATAAAAGCCATATGGCATATAAGTCCAAAAGCTATTAGTAAGGTGCGAGTTTTTGTTCGAACAAACCAAACAGCTAGTTAACAGACGAACGTACAAAACAAAACTTGTACATCACGAATCTTTCATTATTCAGGTGTTTGAAAAATCTTGTGTCGAGGGTAAAATTTCATCACCTGATTCCTTGATAAATAAGGATCACACTATTTAATGTATTTGAATGTCAAAAATATACCGCATAATGAATTTATCAAAAATACTTTCACTATACTTTTCACACATGGCGACCGCTTGTCAGCAAATTATGTATATATGTTCAATGCAGCTTGTCATTTAGCTTAACTAATAATTGATATAGTAGAATAGGTTCGTTTGTCACTAGTCTTTTTTACCACAAATTCAGCTTTAACGTGGTTTGCCACAATTAGGCTCCTCATGACCTTATGGACACAATAATATTTTCCCTTGATTTTTCTTAATTCTTCTGTTTTGAACATATTTTATTAAAATAAATCTTAATGGATTGAAAAAAAGTTTTTTTAACTTACGAGTTCCTCTCCTTAAATAATTTTCTTCACACAATGTATACATATTGCCTGATACAGTATCTACATTTACTTACTACCAAAATGTATGCTCACTTTTGACAAATTTCCTGTTTCGTATAACTCTTTATATTGTTTAAGATTTTAGTTTTTTTTAGTTTTCCTAAGTGAAGCACTCATTAACTAAAATAATTGTTTTTAACCAATGTCCTCTATGTTTAAAACATGTCATCCAAAAACTGCTATTGTATATGCGATGATGTTAATTATAACAGTTATGACAAAAGCCCACGAACTTTTCGAACAACACTTTAATCATACGAATATAAAAATTTGAAGTTAACTAAACTTGTGTTTCTTTAAATCTCTTCAGCATGTCTTTGGTTGTTTTTTAAGGATAGCAAACAATCTCCAACTATTATAAGTCCAGCTTATTGTGTGACACTTAAGTAACAAAATCCTCCAACAAAGAAGCAATAGTTACTGGTGATGGTACACGCTTTATCAGCATTTCCTTGTAGTGATGTTCATCAACGTCTGCTAGAATTGTCCAGAACTTGACAAAGTCTATTCCTCCAATTATCAGTTTTTCCTTCCGATATGCTTCATTTAAAAAGAATTTAAAGACGAATTTTATGTTATATCACAGACGAAATTAACAATGTTAATTCCTTGGGTTTGTTGTTGCGAAAATAATATAATACAGAAAAGGGTCGTTCTCGTGTTTGACGTTAAATTGGACTATAGGCTATACATAAAAAATGTATTGATTCTTGAAGGCCATGTATAATTTTACAGCACGTACATTATTCGAGTAAAAGTGCTTTAAAGCAAATGTTCAAGAAATGTAGGGGTTTAATGTATGTGAATCTCAAACAAAAAGTTATCTTTGTTTTCTTGGTTTTGCTATAATTTCTATCTTTTTTTTTTAATTTGCAAATGATTTTTATTCTGTGATAAATGTAGCCGCAAACGAGAATCGAACCTTGGCCGCCTTTCGATCACGAAGCGAACGCTCTACCACTAGGCAATGTGACCAGTGATATCGTGTGAAAAGGAAAGTGTTAAAACATCGAAAATTTTGAATTTTATGACTATGACCCCCACATTTTTGACCTCAAGAACAATAAGAGTTTCATTAGGTCAGAGGTGTGTAAATGTCATGGCTTCTCAAGATATCGATTGGAAACGAAAGAGTTACAGACAGACGGTAATACAGCTAGACGTACGGACGAATGTCTGCACAAACCGACAGACCGACCAAAAGTAATATCCCCCTTTTCAGCGGGGGACATATATGCTCATACTTATATAATAATATATTACGATAATGCGCCAAATTTGGTTTTAATTGTTCATTCTTTATTAAGGAATCACTGTCTAGTTAGTAAAGAATGCTATAAAACACGAACGATACTTGGAAAGTGAAATAATTTATGATTCCCCCTTAATACGAATTATCCGACATTTCCAACGATCGCTGAAGTCCGTGGTATACTCTACGAAATAGACATTGATTTCTTATATTTCCATATCATTGTGAAACAAAATTTTTCATTTAGATTTAAAAATGTAGACTAATAGTCTAAAATAACACGAGGCCTCTTATGTCAATTTAATAGTCCACGCCCAGTGACGTCAAACACAAAGACACATTAACATGCATAAGGCTTCCCTAGGAACCAGGCAAAATTTATCACAATGATGGGACCAGTACAAAACAAATTCCTCATTTTAAAAACGTACATGTTCTATGGCTTTGGTATTTAAAAAAAATATCTGTCCCATGCCTTGAGACTTATAAAAAAGTTATTGTCCCATGGTTGTCAGTGAGATAACTGGAGCAAAACTAAGGAGTCTTTCAGAGTGGGACTAAAGATATTTCAAACATCGAGAAAAAAGTTTTTTGGTTTGTTCAATTTTCATCTGTTGTAATATTTTCCATTAAAAACTTTATGTTGCCATTCGTATCCTTCACTTCAGTTTTAAAGATATGATATTTTTTTTCGAAACCTTTTTTTTAATAGAATGAATATTTGTCTTGGGTTAATTTATGTACTGTAAATCACTGAAAAAAGTTTGTGTCCCATGGGTACTTAATGCTAAAAATTGTTTTGTCCCATGGTTTTCTTTGATGAAAAAAACTCATTGTCCCATGCCCGTTTGTACCGGTCCCATCACTCTGATAAATTTTGCCTGGTCCCTTAGCTGACATATCAATTGACGAAATTTACATTCCGTCAAACATTTGAAGCGTTTGGCTTGTTTTCACCAGAAGAAAGGCTACAATTCCGTATGTTTATGATTCACCCAAGAATTGGCCAAAATTGATGGTTAGTGCTTTTAAATTAGGGCAGATTATCAATATTTATCTGTAATTCAAAGCAAAAATGTTCTTGTAAACTTGTTATTTGTTCAAGAGCATTACGAATCCCAAAATAGTGATACCTCACCAGATATTTTCATTTCACTTACATACTGTGGAGTTTCTAACAATGTCCGCGGAACTTTCGGAAGAGCGGAAGCAATTGGCCTAAGAACACTAAATAGCGCTTCAACTACATTATGATCGGTAATTGATTAATCCATAAAGTCATTTTAGATTTTAAATATTCTTCAAGTGTATCGTTGTCATCGTCATCTTCTGAAGAACTAGACATCGCATGCAGACAAAACACACTATCAAAGTCATCAGGGTCATCTTGCCCTGAATCGTATTCATCTGTTGCATCCATTGACTGTTTGCTGTGATACACACATCTGCATCAGTTTCAACATATTCAGAAATACCTTCGGCTTCATTAAAACTTGAAATAGAATTTATAGTAGTCTGCTCATCTGTATTTAATTGATTTGAATTTTGTGAGGCAACAACGTTTTCGCTTCGTGATGACTGACTTCTCACGTCAGCTAAATGATTCAAAACTCTTGCACGAACTCTTCGTCTCTCGGTCCAATAAAACACATTTTTACTCAAGCCGTAGAGGGGCTTGAGTTATCTAAAACGATGCTAGGTCATCGATTTACTTAGTTTGAAAACATGAAAATATATAATTTTTGTAGATCAAAACATTTCTAGAAACAAAAATGAAGCTTATCTTGAAAATGTAAACTCAAAGATATTAAGTGTTAAATGTTGGATTCTATTCTATGGCGAATGAACCATGAGTGAAGCTCCGCAGCCGCAACAGTTTCTTTACACAGAATTCGCTCTTTCCTTCGCGTAGGAATCTCAGGTAACTTTTACAGTCGCCGGCAAAGCATCCTTGGACGATTTCACTGGTTACTCTGAAAGGTGACGCAGGTTATCTCATTGTTAACAAATTCTACAATGTATGGGCAGAAAAGTATGGCTATGCCCCCAAACTAAAATTGCTTCCCACGGGCCTTCAAATAATGTGCACTTTGAGTGAAATTAATAGCACAAAAGTTTGTTAAATTTCATTTTTTTTTTTAATCGGACTATCTTCTGCTTTGGTATCTGAATCTTTATAACTTCTTTTGGATTCGTATGGAAGATTCTATCCATTTATTTATTTGACATGCCGCACAGCTAGATCAACCCTTAGTCGCATGAATTTTTGGAGTCCCCCTCCCTATTTTTGTCCTCCATCCACTTTGAAAAACTTTGCTATAGGTCTGTAATAAGCGATGGCTGTATATTAACAAAAAACACAAAAAGTATATAGTTTCAAGTATATTTATAAATGCATAAAAAATATTTCAATAAATTTGGAAACGGCATCGGTCACTGGGCTCCATAAAATATTTCTATTCCTGAAAGTGAGTAACCTATTAGTAAATGCATATTTAAAAAATACGATTCAATATATGAATTTTGTTTCCTAGTACATGAATTGTATTCAACAGAAGATTGAACTCAATAGCCCTCTTCTTATACCATCTTAGGATATTAATGACACTTCTTACATAGTTGACTTTCTACAGCTTGAGTATCTCTGACGTTTTGTCAGTATATACTTGTTTCTTTACCCTCCATTTCTTGTAAACATACAGTCATGTATATGTGCAAAATTTTTTTGAATAGAGAATTTGAAATCTTGTAGACTGTATCAAACTTTAAAACCAGTACCTAAAAAATCAAATAAATCGTACTTGCACCTTCCTTACTTAATGAACTATACTGTGCGTATAACTATTGTGTATGTGTTACTTCTAAAGGAAAACACACATCGTTTTATAATTAGAAAAGCAATGTAGAAAAGTCATGCACAACTCAATAACAGTGATAGGCAGAAATACATCAAAAATAAAATCTTGAAAAACATTAAACTTAACATATATCCCTGAACTATAATTATTTTCAAAGTCTTCGTAATATATAAGTTTGCTTACATATCATAAACAAATAAATTAACTTACATTTTTGAATATTCTACAAAGAAATTAACCGCCACGTGCTCTCTTTCCTTTGTCCTTTCTTGTAAATTCTTCACTGATGGCAATTAATATTCCATTTCCAATTAAGATATCATGTAAAGGGCAATCTGCCTAACTGCTTGCTTTAACTTTGCTGCAAGATATATGGCACCTGCTCTGAACGTGTGGCCAGGATCAAACTGGCCAGAATGGCCTAAATCATTGCTGGTTATCGAATTGCCTAAAATGTGTAAGTTGAATCACGATTGCTTTAAATGCAGGGAACTTTTTTTCTTCAAATTGACCGCATTTCTCAATTTTAATAGCTATAAACACATTTTTAAAAACATTTATTTAAAAAAAGACATCCGCACATTTATTTTCGAGTTAAAATGCTTAAATTGTCGTAACATGTACCTGATAATTAAATACATCTAAATTTTGTGTTGTCAAAATGAAAAAAAAGCATCAATACACCAAAAAGAAATTTGTAAAGTAGCAAAAGAATGTCGGTCTGATTATGTGTGACGCAAGGTAGAAACACCGGTATTGCACCAAAATTGGACCTACCACTCTGAAGAACAGTTAAATTATCGGTGTTTTATCAACATCAGCCCAACAAATAAAACAAACGATGGTAATAAGACGAACTTGAGCGTTATTATCTCTTGTAAGCCCAACGTTGGCCAAAGTATAACCAACGCCAATGATAGCCCAACTATACAACGTAAAGCCAACGTTTGCCCAACATAGTTATGTTATCTGGGTTGCTGCAGCACCCATTGTGGTTTTGTTTTAGAACAGCCAACAGTCTATAGTTGTCATTATTTAAAACATCGTCGTGAGACACTAAAGCTACAAAATCATCTAACAAAGAGGCAAGAGTTAAAGGTGAAGGTACATGCTTGATGAACATGTATTTGCAGTGGCGCTCATCGATGTTTACAAGAATAGTCCAGAATTTAACAAAGTCTCTCTCTCCTAGTATCAATTTTTTCTTCCGATATTCTTCTGTTGAGAAGAAATCAAAGAACTGTGTTATTATTGGCAGAAATTTGACCGGCCTTAGGTCGGGTTCTGCAAACCCTTCTAAGTAGCTTATGTAATCCTCAAGAGATATATCTTCTCCCGGACCACGCTTAAAAACATGGTCGTTCCACCATTTCCTTTGTTCTTCTTCTGATGGTGCTGAATCTTTGAAATTTACAAGTAAGCGGATCTGTTCGAGTTTAGCGTTTGTTTTTTCCATGTCGTCTGCGCTGATGATGCCATCTTGGTCTGCATCTAGAATTCTGAACCACTGGCGCCATTTATGATGTAAAAACCAAATTTCTGTTTTTAAGAAGTATAGTTACATTGTACATGTATATATAGCAACTAAAATAACATTACATGCATAATGTGATCATTAATAAGGTTTTATTATCAATACAATATTACAATAAATATTCTTAGTAGTTGGATTAAAATATTCAAAATAAAGAATAGAAACAAAAACAAATCACAGTAAAGCTTTAGACTTAACATTCTAACCTTTGCAGATATCATGAAAAGTCTGAAACTTTACTGGGGGTGTTTAAGTGTGTTTTCTTATAAGTTATACATAGCATCTTACTTTGTTCTTCGGATAATATGCTTCAAGCAATTAAAATGTAAGCAGCGTATGACATTAACACAACCAGCTGTACTATTTTGGCATTGTAGTAAAAGTTGTAGAACTCGGGATGACAGACGGACGTGTAGTTAGTCAAGTCTTTGTCATACAAACTATAAATTTTTGTAGCTCCTGAAATTATTAATGGCATTGTTATGTCATTTTAAAACAAGAAAAAAAAAAAAACGGTATATTTTGTTTGGTTGGAACGTTGTATTTTGTACGATCAATATATCTAAAAAATAAATACATTACATTAACAGTGCATGAATTACAAATTTACAAATTTCATTTTGTTGCGAGGAATCATCTCTTGATTATGTGAATTGTACATCACCGAATAAATGTTATTTTAATGTTTGCACTAACCAGCAATACATAAACCGAAAACAGTGAAATTTAAAACCATGTCAATGAAAAGAAAAATGGCTCCGAGCAATTTTTTTTTATCCATATCAGGTCTGGTTAAACGTTTCTTGCGGCAAATTTCACAAAGAACATTAATCCTCCACAAAAAGACCCATAAAATAGTGACACAGAGGACCCCACCCTCTGCTTGTATAAACTTTGTAAGATCTTCTTCCTCCTTGTCTCCATCTTTATTAAGCTTTCTCCAGTAACACTGGCCGCTGTATTTAATACCTTTTGAAGAAAGAAAAATATCTAATTAAGAAAGGACTATATGAATTTGCGGTATTTTGCATAATTTTCCCCCTTAATCAAAATTTGACGGATAAATTTATAATTATGTTCTAAAACTGAAGGATAGCTGAAGACTTGTTTGATATGACCACAGGAAAATAACGTTAATGATTTCTTTAGAAAAAGGTGTTTATTACGTCGATATTTCGAGTAAAAGTCACCAAGCACAGGTCTGCTCAAGCTAAAAAAGATAATGTGTGTAGAATGATCAATATCAATAAACTAATTACATGTAATATGTAAATATTGCTCTGGAGCAGGCCGGCCTCTATATTAATTTCATAGTAAAAATTGAGCAAATTTTGTCCATTTTTCCTCTTTCTTGTAAATACCATGCTTTGGAACTACATTGTATAATATGTTTTGTTGATTAAGATTTCCCATACAATATACAATACAGCACATTTCAAGAAATTTTGAAAATATGACTTTTGTTGGTGCAAAATTATGCAAAATCCTGCATATAGTCCTTTTGTGTTTTCTTTTTTGTCCTATTGGATTATTGAAATTTCAAATAAACAGAATTTAACTTTAACTTTGTAATTTGAAAAATAAGTTAATATTAACATTTGCAAATATCTTTCTAAGATGAAGAGAATATATATTCAATTCTGTGTGAATTTTATTTGGCGGTAAGAGGTCATAGCGCGACCGAATCACAGAGCGAGGTGATATTTTGTCTACATATTTCTGTCACAATGCAACTTGTTTGGGGATATTTCTAAGTTAATCATGTTAATAACGATGAAAAAGATAAAATGATTGAAATATTGATATTTGTCAATCACAGGATGTACAATAAATCTTCTTTCCAGGTGAATAAGATTTTGAATACCATATTAAGCCTAAAACCGCACCTACCTTTTTAACCCAAAATTCCTTTGCAGTTATGTAAACTAAAACAACCGATACCACCGCTTTCGACTTTAAATGTTTTAAGAACTTATGAAGTAGTTAAATTATTTTCAGCAGCGATCATTGTTCTTTCACATATGCAGATAATTCCTGACCTTGACTGCTAATCATGAATTAAAACTTTCAAATGTTGGAGCGAGGCAACTCTCCAGACCAAACAACTTCTAGGTCATAGAGCGTCACAACATAGCAATACGGCGACCCGTTTATGTAATAAATGCAGTTTTACTCGACATTTATTCGTCTCAAATGTAAACATAAGTAATAAACAACAATTTTAAAAAGTTCACTGGGAAATGAACTTTAAGTTATTACGTGATCAAATTTATTGTGAAGACCAACTAAAAGTTCATTTCGCAGAAAACTTTTTAATACTGTTGCTTATTTCTTACATTACATACATGTACTTATTATGAATAGATGATTAAACCATTATATAAACTTGAAATTCCAATTTTTTTCTTTCCTTTTTTCTGCTTCTTTTCAATTTTCATTTTTTTTTTCTATTTCATACGCCATGGACGTCGGATTGAAAGGGGGGCTAAACCAACAGAAAAAGGTAAACTACAACTTTTAATGCCTATATAATGTCTATATTTGCAAAAAAAAGGGTGGGGCTAAGTACTGATAAAAGCCACACGCCTCCTTAATTGAGCCATTTTGATTGCCGTTGTGCATGTACATAAAACTTAGTATCCATTTCTATGTTCCATGCGCTCTAAAATAAATAGTACGTTGATATTTGCAGTCTTATTCTGCATAATAACACATGCAAAGTTCATGCAGTTATGATATAAAGAACTAAAAAAGGAAAAACAAATTACAGGAAAAAGAGATTCCTCGAAAAAAATTTTGATAAGTTGACTTGAAAGATGAACGTTTTGACTCACCGTAAAAAATATAGGAAATAGAAAAGGCCAACATAATGAGCCATATAATCTGCTGTAGAACTGAAATAAATCATTTTAAACTATACGAGGGGTTATCAAAAAGTTCATGGACTAGCGCCATAAAATTAAAACCGCTTTAGGTACATGAATGAATTTTAAAATAACTAGTTAGCATTATCTTTTCTATCTATAGAATAAATCACAGATTACAAATTTTATTTTTTAATAAATTAGTAATGTTTTTGTGAGCAATGGTATGTCCATGCGGCGCAACCTCGAAACGACGTTTTTTTCGACGTAATTGTAGCTAAGAAAAACTATTATGGTATGAACATTTGACATCCAAATATCCCGTTAATTCAGGTACATGTATGTGTTGGGACACTATTGTTCCATAAAATAATAAATTTTTACCTTATTCTGGAAGTTCTATGAAATATTATCGTAAATATTATATGGAGTATCCAAATAAATATTGCCTTGAAAATGACGTCAAAAGGGGGTAGGGGTTTCCTTTTTCAACATTCTATAAAGTTATGCCCCTAGAAAAACTGGTACACACCTAGAAAATGTTTAAACTGGCTACGGAGAAATAATATGCATCTATATAGCTTGTTTTTAATGCTAAAATAGATTCAGAGAGAAGAGGAATGCACAGTTAATTTCGATTTGAAGTCAAGGTGTGAAAAACCAATCACGTCAAAAAATGACGTTGATCATGTGTTGTAGATTTTGAACTCCAAAAAGCAAAATATGCTGGCAGAATCAAGTGAGAATCTCTTCCATTGTCGTAATCCATTTGGAATATCATATGCATTGAAAGCCGCTGTTCATGACATTGTATAGTCATATAAACAAGACGGATTGAAGTCCTTCCTCAGCTCCAGAGAATCTCATCAAAATAAGTGAATGAGGTAGAAAAAACAGACATGAAAAACAATGACGTTGTTGGACGTCAAAAAACTAAACGGCGACGGCGCCGGGTGATGCTATAATGTCGTTTTTATTTCGTAATAATTTGGGAAATAATGAACGTATCAAGCTAAAATTTTCAATATTTGTTTATTTGTTGTTGCTTTATGTTCTTTAAAAATTTCGTAAGCTCAGACTATATAGTACTAATTTTATAGCCTCAGTCCACGAACTTTTTGATAACCCCTCGTACATGTACAGGGATAAATATTCAAATAGACAAAACTGAGCATCAGGAAAAACATTTTTTTTTCATTTACATGAGTTAGTATACATGTACATGGGAGAGAGAGAGAGAGAGAGAGAGTATTTTTAAGATTCCATGAAGGTAAACTTTTGACGATATTCTACAATGCATCTTGTTAAGTGCGCTCCGTTAGGACAAATCCTTTTTTTTTTTTAATTATAATGAAGCATAGCGCTCTTTTTTAAGAAAACATATGAAATGAAAATTTGCACATAAACGAAATAAATATTTTTTTAAATTGTTATGCTAATTCTAAAATGAATATTGAAATAGTTTGTGAACTTTTCGAACGAACCTCATACATTTTATAATAAATGGCACAGTGTTTTAAATGATAATATTGTGTCATATTTCAAAATTTAAGTTATTTCGAGATTTACAATGAAAACAGAAATTAATCTTACAACTTTTTTTATTGTCATTTAAAAGACTATATGTACATGTACATGTACACTAATGTATATACTCTAGTTCATTTAAAAGCTTACCTGACATTTCAAAGCAATCATGAGCTTTTTCCCACATATTTCTGTCATCTTCATAGGGATTATATTTTTTAGACCTCCGATGGCTTGAACTTGCTATAGTGAATACCGAGTCATAAGACGGAGGGGGATCTTGGAAAAGAAAGGAACCAGTTGATAACCAAAACACATTAACTGCATCCTTAAGTAACATGTATAAGTAACCTGGATCGAATCACAGGCATTTATTTTCAGTAATAAATTTTATAATCCCAAAGTATTAAATTATCATTATGGGTTAAAACATCTATTACAAAAACAAGTGTCTTTGCCGCGAATACCTGATTCATGTTATGAAAGAAAGGAATATTTTGCATATTCTTATATGCAAGTTCTTTTGTACATGTATACAATATATATATTTCTTTTCGTTTTTTTAAAGTAGGGATGGGAATCGAATAAGAATTACTAATCGGTTAACCGCAAGACGTTCCGACCGAATAAGAAGTTGATCTTTCAAAATACGTATTTTTGTGTTTTACATAACTCTTTTTTCCTAAGTAGATCTTTTCATATTTACAGGGATATTTATAAAGTTTAGATATTATTTGTCTTGAGTCTTGCTTTTAAAAAAATAAACAAGCCTATATATTTGCCCTTTTAGCTTCAATATTGACTGAAAAATTTATTAAAAAAAACAAAACAAAAAAAAACCAATCATATCTGAGAAATAATTGATATTTTTTTCCAATGCAGATTATAAACACGTTCATTCTGCATTGTCGCCAAAATCAAAACTAAGTCTGAAATACTTCACTTAAGTAACAAAGTTTTTTTTTAGCAATTTATTCGAATGAATAACTGCAAAATGAACAAACATACTAATTTACATTTCTTAACTGTGATTAAATTCTCTTAAAGAAATAAAGGACAGTCAGAGTACCGAACGACTTAATGTTTTAACAGTAATTAACACCTCAAACACAAAATGACCTAATCACCCAAGTCAGAGTGGATTTATGTAAAGGCTAAATTATACATGTAAGTATTTATGCAAAGTTTTTTTTTTTTAAATTCATGCATTTTTTAACAAAATTGGGTTAAAACTAATATATATTTTATTTTTCCATCTAACTGATTGCAGATTTTCCAACTGATTGCCGTCGTTTTGACCGAGTATAGGTTAACCGGTTACAAATTATCATTCCTAAAAAAGAAAGAAAAAAGATGTGCGTCCCACAGTGGAATTGATCCGGGTTCCTTTGGCTTGGAAGACTAGCGCTTGATACCCTAGACCAGTAATGCTTTCAAGTAATGATTATTTAAATTATTTGTGATGTTAGTAATATTAAGTGGCACTATTTTGTGCAGCAATTTGCAGGCATTTAGTTATTACAATCATTAGACAAAAGTTATCTAAAGATTTTCAAGTTTTTTAAAATTATTTTTTGCTTCAATATTGAGATGTATTTTTCAGATATTGAATGAAGTTTTTGTTGAATATTACCACTTTAACTCTCTCAATCAGGATGTTAACCGATTTCATCCATTAACAGCAGACTTTTGAAACGTTTTCCATGAGGAATCCTCAAACATTGACACATTTGGACGCCGTTGTTGCCCTCCTACGGACGCATAAGTCCGTGTACAACTTTGTCTTTAAAAAATGGCTATGTCTTAACCTATATTTCGTGTTTGCTTTATTTCATATTAAAACAGGAAATGATTTATGTTCGGCTGAGCGAAGGGAAAGAGAACATAAATGTATAGACTAGATCTTTTGCAGTTTATAAACCTACATTATATCGTTCTATACGGTCGCTCCCCTTTATATATAAGTATTTTTTAAAATAAGGTCAATCATATGTTCTGATTATAACTGGCAGTTTTTTAACATTATCATTATTCATTCATAAAAAGAATTTAAGTTAAGAAAATACTTCTCAGACATTCTGCTCCTCTCCAGAAACTGTCCCTTGGATTCCTTCTTTATATGCTCAATATGTACCGAATACAATGAAAGAAACCTGTCACATACTTATTTCTGGCATGGTGTCTACATCGACATAAGTTGGTCTTCCTGTTACATCAGAGGTGCCTGGTCCTGGATACCATGCAGGTGCCGATGGAGGCACGTCTTCCTTTTCCATACCGAATTCACTTATGGAGCTTTCAAGGGCAGTCACTAGCTACGGTGTATAAAGGAAAACGAGAAAACCACCAGGGCTTGATTCAGATGTATTTGCTCTAAAAAATTTAATATATTGAGCAATCCTTCGTAAGATACTGGTATCCTGTTTTGTTGTCTACTGCGGATGCATTTATAGCAATCCTTAAAACACGGAGAGGGATAGGTCAAATAACAAAATACTTATACACGTATAGTCCGATTTAAAAACACAGCTTACAAATAAACGCACCTTTCTTGTCAATATGATTTTTCTCTTGATCACTAAATTCTTAATTTTACTTAATTAGTCTGAACTTATCAAAAATATTTTATATACTTGTATGTCTTTAACCAAAGGACAAACTGCGCTGTGAATGTATAATGTCTAAAGTGTATGATAATTGTCAGAAATTGCTTGTTAAGCTTATGGATAAGAGTTCACTTAGAGAGAATTTTTATGAGAATATATGCAAGACATTAAGCATTGGATAAAGTTTGAATTAACAAATAATACTTTCTGCCATATTTTTGCATTTGCAAAAAAAGAATACATGGCCAAATGCAATGAATTCACAGTATTAGAAACAAGGTTATTGGATATGTTAAACTTAAACAAGATTGTTTAAACGATCATTAAAATATGACTCATGTACAAATAGGTGGAAGTGGAGGAAAAAATACTACATTACAACTGTTCAAGTTGTAAGCCTTATTTTAGAAACGGCCTTCATCATGTGCAATTATCTAACCTAGCACTAAAACTACAATTTTTTTTATGTGCAGAATATAACGTAACATTTCCTGAAAAACCAAAATGACTTTTGACGAACATTTGGTGACACATCTGTTACATATCTGGATATTTTACTTAAAAAGACATTAATGGTAATCAAACAACAAAACTTTATGATAGACGTGATAACTTTAACTTTTCAATCGTCAACTTCCCTTTCTTATGGAACAATATACCCTTATCACCTGCATACAAGGTTTATATTTCTCAGTTGCTTCGAAACGCAAGAGCATGCTCTACGTATGAACAATTCCTAAAACGAGGTAAATTATTGACAAACAAATTGATGAATCAAGACTATCAGCAGTCTAATTTAACGTCATCATTTCGTAAGTTTTATGGTCGATACCGTGGTCTTGTCAGCAAATACAATTTATCTTTCCGTCAAATGCTGGCTACCGCTTTTCATACCAATTTTAGTCCATTAATTATATTTATATACCGCATTGACGACAATTTCGTTCTTTATTTCCCGATCATGACAAGGAGCACACCGCAGGTGTTACCGGTCGGCAGGGGATGCTCACTCCTCCATGGCACCTGATCCTACCTCTGATCTGGAGGTCCGTGTTTGCTCTGCTCCTACTTTGTATGGTTTTAAGACTTTGATATTGAATACTGTTCGTTATCTCCATAATTATATTTGATTATGTAATAGTTTATCATTTATTTATATTCAGGTATACAGAAAGTTACATGCCCTATTTCTAGACTTATACCGTAAACACTTTCTTCTCTGTACCTATGTTGTTATTTCACAAGCACACAAAAAAGCACTCCCAACACATTTTTTCCACACAATCTAATAAGCTTGGAAATAATAATGTACATGTAGCACCTGCAAATAGATATTAAAAGTATTATGTTACAAATTTGAATTATCTGAAATGGTTAAAGAATACTGCATGAAAAGGAAAGTTGGAAAACATATTTATATTTGTTTATGCTTTGCTGCAGCACCCATTATGTTTTTGTTTTAGAACAGCTAACAGTCTATAGTTGTCATTATTTAAAACATCGTCGTGTGACACTAAAGCTACAAAATCATCTAACAAAGAGGCAAGAGTTAAAGGTGAAGGTACATGCTTGATAAACATGTTTCTGCAGTGACGCTCATCGATGTTTAAAAGAAGAGTCCAGAACTTAACAAAGTCTCTCTCTCCTAGAATCAAATTTTTCTTCCGATATTCTTCTGTTGAGAAGAAATCGAAGAACTGTGTTATTATTGGCTTAAATTTGCCCGGCCTTTCGTGGGGTTGTGCAAACCCTTCTAAGTAGCATATGTAATCCTCAAGACATATGTCTTTTCCCGGACCACACTTGAACACGTGGTCGTTCCACCATTTCTTTTGTTCCTCTTCTGATGGTGCTGAATCTTTGCAATTTATAAATAAGCGTATCTGTTCGAGTTTAGCGTTTGTTTTCTCCATGTCGTCTGCGCTGATGACGCCATCTTGATCTGCATCTAGAATTCTAACCCACTGGCGCCATTTATGATGTAGGAACCAACGCTCTGTTTATAAGAAGTACGCATAGTCACATATTAGTCAAAAATGAAGAATTGTACACAAGAGTTCTTTAATATAAAATTACATGTATACTCAACAAAAAAAAGAAACGCATATTCAGAACTAGGAGACTTATTGTTCACAGAACAATAAGAGATCTTTCCACCTTCTTTGAATTTCAATTTCATGTAATATTTATCTCTTTAAAATTAAATTTCATAAAAAAGAAACCAGGAATGGCTTAAAAGAAGGAAAAAAATGAAAAAAATTCAAAATTTGGAGGTGACCTTGACCTTTGACCTTCAAGGTATTTTCAAGGTCAAAGGTCAAGGGTCACATTGTAATTAACCTCAGGTCTCTATGACGTATATTTTTAAAGTTATAAGGTTTCATGGAAAGCACAAAAGAATTAAAGGGCAGTAACTCATTCAAGGATTCACCAGGTCCTTTCTCACTTGAACATGAAAGTTGTGCCTAAAGTCCCATAAGACATAAGTGAAGGTTTCATGTCTTTACGATTTACTTTTTCGGAGCAATAGCAATTACAAGGTTTTTCGCAAAAGGGGCAATAACTTTTAATAGGGTCAATCTTAAGGGACAAGAATGAAATCATTGAAATAGGTTTAAGAGTACATATTAATGATGCAAAGACATTAAGTATATGTTAAAAGACAAAAAAGATATAAAAAGAGCTTAATTTCTCAATTTTTGAATGACCTTGACCTTTGACCTTTACATGAATTTTATGAGCAAAGGTTAATGAATCTTATGCAGTTAGTCCCATGTCTTTACGACTTCTCATTTTGAAAATTTTTAATTATTTGTACAATTCAAAGATTTTCAGGGGCAATAACTCATTGAAGGGGTTACCGAATATTTTCGCAATGAATAGATTCCAGAGTCTTCTAAAGGGGTCAAAAACATTAGTGAAGGTTTTATGTCTCTGCGGTTTACGGTTTCGAGGTAGTAGCAATAACAAGGTTTTTCGCACAAAGGGCAATAACTTTTAATAGGGTCAATTTTAAGGGATACGAATAAAATGTTTGAAATAGTTTTAAAAGTGCATAATAATGATGCTAAGACAGTTTGTATATGTTAAAAGACAAAAAAAGATATAAAAAGAGCTTAATTTCTCAATTTTTGAATGACCTTGACCTTTGACCTTTACATGAATTTTAAGATCAAAGGTCAATGAATCTAATGCAGTTAGTCCCATGTCGCTACGACTTCTCGTTTTGAAAATATTTAATTATTTTTAAAATTCAAAAACTTTCAGGGGCTATAACTCATTGAAGGGGTCACCGAATGCTTTCGCAATGAATAGATTCCAGAGTCCCTTCAAGTAGTCGAAGACATTGGTGAAGGTTTCATTCTTCTATGGATTACGGTTTCGGAGGAGTAGCGATAACAAGCATTTCTTGCGAAAGGGGCAATAACTTTGAAAGCGGTCATAGTTCATATGCGTTGGGTCAAATTTGTTCCTAACTTTTAATGACCTTTACGATGAACAAAAAGTTTTTTCGATAAATGTCGAAACAAAAAATCAGCGGAAGAAAAATAATAGGAATAATAATAAACATAAGCAAATCAATAGGTCTTTCCACAGAAAGGTGGAAAGACCTAAATAATAATAAACAGAAGAAAATCAATAGGTCTTTCCACAGAAAGGTGGAAAGACCTAAAAATGAATGACCTTGACCTTTGATCTTGATCTAAACTTGAAGGTCAAAGTATATAAAGTAGTTGAAGACACTGTTTAAGGTGTCGCATCTCTACGGTTAATGGTTTTGAAGGCGTAGCAATACGAAAGTTTCGGAGGCTATGTTTGGTCTACATTGTAGTTTAACACTAGTAGACTAATTGTTCACTGAACAATTAATGGTCTTTCCACCTTTCTTTTAAGTTTTCATGTCATTTGAATTAAAAAGAACCCCCCCCAAAAAAAATAAATAAATAAAAATTAAAAAAAAAAAAAAAAAAAAAAAAAAAATTTATAAGTGCTGCCAGCAGGATTCGAACGGTGGACCCTCAGCCCTCAGATTGCCAGGCGAGCGCTCTACGCACTACACCACAGGCTCCGATGAAATTATTTGCCGTAAACTAAGAGTAAAGAAAAAAAGAAGAAATGAAAGCACGTGGATTTAAATGAAAATAGTACAGAAACACGTGTATTTATTTGTTTGTTATGGAACATAGAGAGGAATAATGAATAGTTTCGAGAAAAACGATTGGTGGATAATGAAAATAGAGATTTCCTGTACAAAAAAAAAATTCGAGCTTGTTTATAGTTTGAATAGATTGAGTTAATCATACAGAGCTTATGATACATTCGAACTTCCGTGTCGGCACTGTGTTTACAATTTGTGAAAATATAGGCGCGTTCGTTTTGACAGAAATGGCGAACTCATAGGTTAGATTAAATAATCATCTCTATTTGCATTGAATTCATAGTTATGAGCATAAATTAAAGTTGAAACATGCATTTCATGATGAAGACGGTGTCACGGAGAGCGTGCAAATTTATTTTATATGAAAAATCGCTATTTCCGAGTTTCAGCCGATTCATATTTAAATCTAAATAAAATTAAAATAAATTCCGTACACCTAAGAAAGCAAGAATACTTGGTATTAAAATGTCGTTTTAGAGCAGGAGAATCGAATGATATTAACAATAATTGCAGAAATAGCCAAGGCGAGCTTTAATTAATTTTTATGCTCAGCAGTAACTTAATTTCAGACAGAAAAAAAATGCAGATTTTGCCGATATTCACTAGAATTTCATTGTACTTTAGAGACTCACCTTAAAACTCTCAGGACACTTTCTTTTAGGTCTCTTCTTCCTTTTATTACGAATCTTATGTCGATATTTCGTTTCGTTTGACTTGTAGACATTTTCTCTAAGTTGGTGTTGATTTTATTATTATTTTTTTTTTTACAAGG